TCTCTCTCTCTCTCTCTCTCTCTCTCTCTCTCTCTCTCTCTCTCTCTCTCTCTCTCTCTCCCTTTCTCTCTCTCTCGCTCTCACCCTCTTTCAATCTCTCTCCATACTCACACGCATGCACGAACATAAGCACACACACATGTATTTATATTATATACACATATATTTATTTTTAACATGTGCAAAAATTGTTAGAGATAAAAAAAATTACCTGTACATATTCTCTAGCCAACAGAAATTTAATTATGAGAACCAAACTCTCCATCAAGTCTGTAGGTATGCTCTGTAAAACAGTAAAACGTACATCATTACATGAAGATACTTGATGATATTTTGTGTGAGCAGATCAAGCATCTCGGTCCCGCTGCTCTTCAATGGCTGCTTGATATGTTTAACAGCTGCCTCTTCACTAACAACAGCCCGAAGTGTGGAGGAAAGACAGAGTGGTTGCAATACTAAAGCCTGGTAAAGACTCAGCTAGTCCAGCTAGCTATAGGCCCATCACATTGCTCTGCCATACATACAAGCTCTTTGAAAGACTCATTCTCAGCCGTTTTACCCCTTTCGTGGATGAACACCTCATCCCAGAGCAGGCAGGTTTTAGACCAGGAAAATCCTGTACTAGCCAACTCCTCAACCTTACACAGTTCATCGAAGACGGATACGAGAAAGGGCTGATTACTGGAGCTGCTTTCGCTGACCTCTCCTCAGCTTACGACACAGTCAATTATAGAATTCTTACCAAAAAACGATACCAGCTAGAAATTAGGACGTGAAGCTGACAGAATTGATCAAGAAACTGTTGGCAAACACGCGGTTTTTCGTGGACCTTAATGGTAACTGCAGCAGATGGCGTAGACAAAAAAATGGCCTTCCACAAGGAAGCGTCCTGGCCCCTCTGCTCTTTAATCTATACACAAATGACCAGCCAGTACACCCAAACACCAGGAGTTTCCTGTATGTAGATGACCTCTGCATTGCTTCACAGAAACAGTCCTTTCAATGAAGTCGAACAGTCCCTCACCGATGCTCTCGCAGGCCTAACCACTTACTACACTGCAAACCATCTACGAGCCAATCCCGGCAAAACACAAATAAGTGCCTTCCATCTAAAGAACAAGGATGCAAATCACCAACTGAAAGTCAAATGATATGAGAAATGGCTGACACATACTTATAGCCCAGTTTACCTAGATGTTACTTTAGACCGCTCTCTAACTTACAAGGATCACATCATCAAGACAAAGGCCAAGGTGGGTGCACAAGGTGGGTGATTATACACACCCGTGTTTTTAGCTTCCGGAATAGAGGCTTCAGATAGGAGACGGTCTGGTGATAAAGTGTTCTTTCCAGCTTCACTTTCATAGACCTCTTCACCTCTTCTGGTTGGTTGTTAATCGCTTCACCCCAGACTTTCAGCATAAACTGAAATGCATTTAAGCAATTATTTTATTTTTTTAAAAGCTATTCAATGAGAGATTATGAAAGAGACAAAGAAAAGTCATAGCTAATTTATATATTTTCACTAACCAAATGTATAACACATTATAAACACGAGTCTCTGCATAGGAAAGGTAATAGCAGATAAAACAGCAGGGGTAGAAATAAGGAGAAAAAATGAGATGGTCCACAGGTCCATCTAGTTTGAAATTTAGATGGTCCTCCTAAATTTTAGATGGTTCTCCTAAATTTAAAAATTGTTCTCTAAAAGTAATGCGGCGTGCAAGCATAAGAAAGAAATTTTACATCGTGATAAAATGGTTTAATTATTCACCTACATTACAATAAATGTATCAAACGATACAGTAATTGTTTATTCACTTTAAAGTGATTACGTCACCGTAAATAATAAAAAATGAAAAAAATATTTCCACTTTTTCACAAAATATAAGTAATTCTGTTTACATTTTATGGTTAAATTGCTGCATTATACTTCCTATTTTACTATATTGTTCGATGTGAACATACACTCGTGACCCATACATAGCCCATAGCAAGCAATTAATGTTAGACAACATTAATTCAAATCGTTCAGGTTTTTTGGATTTTTAACTAGTTGAGAAACAATCTTATCAGGTAAGAATTTGGCGATTTGTTTAGTCCCGTTAGTTCTTACTTTTAATGTAAACAAATGGGAATTTTGTTTATACAAATTTTACCATAGAAAATTCGTGACGTAATCCCTTTAACAGTATATTGGAACGTGGAAACTTCAAAGAAAATTACCGTAAAATGGGACCAAAATAATCAATGGTCCATCGAACCATTGACTTTGAAAATCTGATGGTCCTCCTGATTATTTGATGGGCCCGGACCATCGGACCATCAGACCATCGCTTATTTCGACCCCTGCAACAGCCTGTCATCTGTTTACCTTTCCAAACTTTAGCACAGTGTCACAATCCAGATCATTGTCTCCAGTGCCTAGATCCTTTGCAAACTCCTAGAATGAGAAACAAGTAAGAGCTGGAGTTATTATTATTATTCAATTTAAAACAAACTGTATTTTTTCATTACAACCTCATTATATAGACTTAGAGGAAAGAAATCTACATGTATGTATGTATGTATGTATGTATGTATGTATGTATGTATGTATGTATGTATGTATGTATGTATGTATGTATGTATGTATGTATGTATGTATGTATGTATGTATGTATGTATGTATGTATGTATGTATGTATATATCAGACCATGAGATTACTTATACTATACAAACGTTCATGATTTTTTTTTTTTTTTAGATGTTGTAGTTGACTTATTAATACTACAGTATACCCTAAATTAGATTCTCCTCCTGATAAGCTAACATAAAAAGCACAAGTCTAGACATAAGTTTTGACAGCAGACTATACATAATAAATCCAGCAGAAGAATAGCCTGGTCCTTACAAGTATTTCCTGAAGAGTTGTACCATCATCCTTTATGCTGACATGGGTTGCTGATGGCTCAGATGACGTGCTGCCAATTTCTGCCTTAGCAACTTCATTGAAATACTCCTGGTCCATTTTGTCCATCGCTGTTTTGAAATCATTCCTCATTCCCTGTATCCAATGCAACACGGAAATTTAAATATGATCCCCATAGTAACTAAATAACGAATACGTTGAAAAATCGAGCTTATTTCTACAGAAATATGTTGTTGTTTTTTACATTAGTACGCATTAATAACACAATGCTGTAAATTTTGGGGATGTTTGCTTATACACGCACAGATATTTCAAACATAATACCATCAATAGATAAATTAGTAAATTGTGGAAAGCTATATAAACATATAGTTTTAAACATATGGGCGTCTATCCATTCCAGGCTACAGAGATATCTGATGTAAAATGCATAGTCATGCGATTCACTGGCAGGGTAGCTTGTCATAACAGTTATATTAATCTTAAGCCTTTTTTAATATTTGAATCAAATGCATGCAAAGGTACATGGTAGTATAAGATAGAATGGGTGTCCTACTACCAGTAAAGTTACAGTCAAATATCACACCCATGGCAAAGAAAACTAGTCACCTTAAAATTAAATTGTCATCGTATAAACACATACCACTTTTTCTGGTTCAAGAATTTCAAGCTTGCGAAGTCGTTGGAAGGTATCGCACTCTGTCTCTCCAAAGAGTAGTATGGGTTCCCCTCGTTCTCTTAGTCGCCTTATGACCTAAGATTAATAACATCTCTAAACCAATTACATCACCATGTTTTATGCACCTTGTGGAAGCTTCGCTTGGGTGGCACCACATTTGTTGACCATCCCATTTTCAGAATCATTGAATCAATTTTGCCACGCTTGTGTAAGGATCATTTAGGATCAGATGCATTTAGAACATTGCTTTTAATAGCATAGAAATCACGTATCAAGAACATTGACTATAGGTGCTAGCATAAATATACCTAGAGAAAAAACTTCCAAGTACACTAAGGGGTGTTACTGCAATAATGCTATTTCATAATTTTTGAAAATTGTAATTAACTGTCATCCTTGGCAGAAACTACTTTCGTTCAATGGCTTCTGAAATAGCCTTAATTGTGCAGTACATACTCTGTTAACCCCTGTTGTACCATTTCGACAGCCTAGTGTAGTAATATATACAACTCTGACTCGACCTTAGCCTTACGTGTTACTAAGTTTAAAGCTACAAACCTTGAAATAATGTTACATTGTATATATCCATAATGCATGTAATTACTCAATGATATTGTAATGTTGAATATTCAACTACTCTGAACATGAACTACCACAATTACAGCATATAAAACACACTTTTTAAAAACTGGCTCAGCAATTGCCCCACATCTTATATATGATGCTTCTATAACAGTTTAGCAAATGGATACTAATGCAACTTTACATATTGTGCATCATTCATGCAGCACGTGGGAATGTAGTCTTACCTCTTTACGTGACAGCATTGGCTTTTGCGGATCTTTAACAAAATCAGTTGCTGATACTACAGGAACCATGGCTTCTTCATTTGTGTCCCTAGCCACCTGCTAAATTAAAATGCCACGTAATTGCAACATTTCTATATAGGAAAATACCGAGATGTGCCATTTCAGTTATTTTAATGAAGATGAGATATATCATGTTAGCATAGGATAAGTAAAAGAATGCAGTGCTCACGTATTTTGCAGACGGAGTTTTAGGAGCTATGCTAGTTTCTGGGAACTAGTTTTCATTGTGATTAAAAGCGTAGATGTTAGGGGTGTTCTGGGACTTGTTTATTTAAATACGTATTCATGTTCACAGCGTAGGCTCATAATCGGACCATTCGAGCATTTATTGTTACATTGTGAATTGTAAATTCAGAAGAGGAGCTCTGGTTTAAGTGGACAGGTGGGGGGGGGGGCGATATGTAGGAGAATAATGGAGCTATATCAACGTTGTTTGGATTTTGAGAGGGGGTCAGAGTCAAGAGTGAAAGAGTTTGGCAGGAGACTGTTACGTGAAAGTCTGCATTTGCGTTGTTCTGTTTTGGTGTATTGGCTTTGGTGAAACTACGATTCGTTTGCTGAACACAAAACCATGTAAATCTCTGCTTTATATCAAAAATAATATATAATATTATACATACACTCTGGTGTAACGAAAGGATTACAAGAACATACACATCTGATATACTCGCGTGTTATTATGCTAGTTCACTAAGGGATGTGAAAAAAAACTATTCATAGTCACACACCCATAGCGCCCTCATTCTATACGCACAACTCTATGTCACTTACTGTCTGCTCTTCTTGCTCAGTCTTTCCATGATGCTTTTCCCAGTAAGCTTCAGTCTGCTGTGCAATAAGATCACCACGCTTAAAATACTTCTTACCTGGACACTGAAATAGCAATGACACGGGTGTAAATGACACAATTCATATCGATTATTTATTGCCAGACAATAGCAGTAGCATTAATTAGTAGTGTGAATTCTGCCATTGTCTCAAGACTATAGATTCCGCCAGTCAACGCCAATTGCTATATCATGAGTTTTCGAGCATTTGAATGACATTTACATCACTCCTTGTCTGATATTATTTGTAAGTGACTAATCTAGCACAGCTTGGTCTGTACTGTAGAACATAGAGTTTGTAGTGTGACTCCTTGCTGGCTAGTGGAGTTTCGCGTGTCGCCTATCGCCAGGACAAGGCAATATCCTCTTGCATCCAGAGAGACCGAGTACAAGATGGCGTTGCGCAAAAGATGCGTTATTCCCCGACCGCCGAGAGCGGTTAAGCCGCGCACTTCCGCGGGACTGGGACGCACGCGACCGCGGGGTGTTGTATGTAGCATCTCGCGCTGCCCGCTATACGAATTCGCACGCCGAAGGTGGGCGGGCGCGCGAATCCGTATAGCGGGAAGCGTAACATCGCGCAGTTTTCGTCAGATGTACACAGGCTTGACTACGGCGGCCTTGGGGGGAGGGCATTTCCTGCTTCTGCTGCTTTGCTGCTCCAGAGCCGCGCTGCAGCAGCTAGCACTAGCAGGGACCAGTATTTGGTGCTGCTGCTGGTTTGCCACGCCAGCCACGCCGGCGCAGGTGCTCGCACGACGTGCCGTCGCCACGGGCAGCGCGGGGTCAGGAGGTTGGTCGAAACGTGGTACGTACGCAGCCAGGCGCGCCACGGTGGCGCCGCTTTTGGAGATAGCATCTAGACCGCGCCCCCCCACATGGAGCGCCGTATGACACTTCGTTAAAAGCTCTGTGATAGACATAACGCTATACTCGGCAGTAGCGCACGTCATCGCGTAGCGGCCAATGAGCGAGCGCATCATCGCTGATTGACAGCATTTCTTGGAATTTCTTGTAGGAGCCACTACGTCTTAGCCATGAGGCGCGCCACCCCAAAAAAAGTATAGAGGCCGTTTGGAGATGGCCTCAAGCCGTCCATCGCGAAATGTCGGTTGGATTGCGCCCAGTTTTCGCGGAGTTCGTTTTCATACCCCTGTCTAAGGTATTTGTCTAAGTGGACAAAAAGGGGGCGGCGTATTCGCTGTTGGGGCGGGGCTTCGCCGCGAGCTGTGCGCTGCGCGCAAAAACCGTGGCCGCAAGTCCGTCCGAATGCACTAGGTAGGTTCCCACGATGCCACACATACATACATATGTACAGATATAGTAACCCTAGAATGGCACTGGACTATAAACAATTTTTAGGACATATATATCCTACTCTATCTGGCGTGTTATTGGTGACAATGGTGTTATTAAGAGCCCCCCCCACCCCCGGGAGGGCACTCGCCTCGGCACTGGGTAGAAGGGTGCCTCGGGGACCTTGAACACCTGACCCTGTCGCAAACTTTGCGCCCTAAAATACACCCTGTCCCAATATACTGTACTGAAAAGTATACCCTGTTGCAATATTGGCTTGCCTATATTGGTCCAATATCGGCCTGGTGATATTGGCCCAATATTGTTTTGCCAATATTGGACCAATATCAGCTTGCTTGCTGGGTATCTAGATAACCCTGTGCCAATAATGATGTTCGGAAAATAGACCCTGTCCAGCAGCACGTCCCCAGTACGGGGGTCGGAGTGATGGGAGTGCCCCACCCCCCGGGGTCAAGAGCTAAGTTAAAAATACCTTTATTTAATATTAGATATGTAAAGTCAACCTCGCTTAATTCGTATCATACAGGATCATGGCATTTTCTACAAATTACATAATCAACGAATTAGACTTAATTCGCATTTTCTACGAATTCTATTTAATCCGTAGAAACCACGAAATAGACAGACAATTTGTGTAAACAATGATTTATGAATGAAAGTTTAACATTGTAATAAAAAGATCTATATGTAAAGCTGTGGACACACTAGTCGATTTTTCATGCGATTGAGCTGCCCGGCTGAGAGTCGGGCGGCTGAGTCGGGCGACTAGCTGTGGACACACTAACCGATTTTTCATGCGATTGAGCCGCCCGGCTGAATGATGATGATAGTCACATGACTGAAAATGGCACCGTTTGATTGGCTGATGAATTGTACATTCGGGCGCGCGTAGTAGAGCATTGTATAGTACTGCATTGTTCGGGTGTGCATTGTATATAGTCGCGCAATAATTATCAAACATGTTTGATTCGGGCGACTCAGCCGGCCGACTCGAAAATCTACCGCGACTCACTGGACACACTAGGCGATTTCAGCCGGCCGGCTCAACCACATGAAAAATCGCCTAGTGTGTCCACCTCTTAAGTCGCCCAAATGACGACTTATGCGCGTATATCGACATTTTGACGAATTACAAAGCCGGTATTTCGACGACTTGGGGGGTGTCAAGCTGACATTTCGCCAGGCTTTATATCTACATGAACTACTTATGCGACGCGATGCAACTGTTTCCACGTGAGCTGAAAAAAAAACAATGAGTCCAAGCAAACAATGCAAATGAAACAATCAGTGCACACAGCAACAACTCATGTAAACTCAGTTGCGATCTACAGGCGATCGTCGGTTCAGATAAAATGTTGCTTGCATAAACAAACATCACCTACGAATTACGAGTGTCATTTTGAATTGAATAATGTTAATTGGACTAGTGGTTTTGTACGAATTACGAATTACAGAATACGAATTATACAACGGAAATTAAAGGGAATAAAGAAGAGAAATTATATTGGGACCACGTTTAGTTCATTCGCATTCTACGAATAACGTGATAACGAATTAAGCGAGGTCAACTGTACCATAGCTACTACTAAGTACTAAGCTAGCGTGGGGGGGGGGCAAAAGAGGTTTAGATACATTACATCACACCTGACAGAACGCCAGCAAAGTGTCGTCATTGACGGCCAGGCATCCCCTAGCTCAGCAGTAATTTCTGGAGTTCCCCAGGGGACTGTTCTTGGTCCCCTGTTGTTTTTAGCATACATAAACAATCTCCCAGAGTGGGTTACATCTGAAGTGAAACTTTTTGCAGATGATTTGATTTTGTACAAAACTATCAACTCCCCTGAGGACTGTGATACATTACAGGAAGACATCAACTCTCGCTGTAAATGGGAGGAAACTTGGCAGATGAATTTTAATACTTCCAAGTGTTTCATCATGCACGTGATCCATCAGAAAAGTTTCACCCCACACCACTATCACATGGGAAGTTCTACTCTCAAATCTGTGAATCACCATCCTTACTTGGGGATTGAGATATCCAGCAATTTATCATGGGCTAACCACATAAATCAAAACGTTAACAAATCAAACAGTATTTTGGGATTGCTGAGAAGGAACCTTTGAAACTGTTCCGCTCACACCAAAGAAATTTCTTATAAAACCCTTGTGAGGCCAAGGCTGGAATATTGCAGCCCAATCTGGGACCCATACCAGAAAATTAATCAGGAAAATTTAGAAAAGGTCCAGCGGAGCGCTGTTAGGTTTGTGAAAAATGACCACAGACGCACCAGCAGTGTTACTGATATGCTTCGTGATCTCAACTAGTTGGGATACACTTCAAGACAGAAGGGAAAAGGCATGTCTCATAACTATATCACAAACATTCTCCATCCAACATCAGTCACCACCTGGCAAGCAATGCTTCAGCCAGACCCACTACTCGTCAAGCACATGAACTGAATTACAATGTCATCTGTCCCAACAAAGACTGTTATATATAGATACTCGCTTTATCCTCGGACAATACCAACATGGAATGCCCTACCACCTACTACCAAGACTGCTCCTGATGTGGCTTCATTTAAAAACTGAATTAAGCGGTAAAGAAAACGTGAAAAAAATTTAGAACATCAATTGTCAAAGCGATCCATATTGACGCTGATGCTGAGAAGTTCTATGTCCCCTAGGGTACTGCCAGAACGTACCCTGGTACAATCTAATATGCCGGACCGTACCTCGCCAACTCCACTAACGAGTCTAGGGAGTCGGCTATGTCGTACCCAAACTTGGAATCTGCCCAATCTCGAGATTGTGCAGCGATTGCGCTGCCCAAACTGCGGATTCCCTAGTTTGGCTGACCAATCTCAAGATTGGGCAAACTGAAAACAGCCGGTGATTCAACAACCGCTCATAGCGAGTGTGTGGTGTGCGTGGTGCAAACTAGTAAGGTATTTCTCATATTTATCCAATTAATTATTAATATTATAATCATTTATTTGATTTAATATTTATACAAAGGTGCCAAACACATTGAGGAAAGAAGGTATACGACCTTATAGTTATATGATATAACATTTGAAATCCTAATAATCATATGTGTGTGCAAGCCCTGTTTACCTCTGTTTGCCCAATCTCAAGATTGGTTGCCCAAACTGCGGATGCGCTGAAATTCCAAGTTTGTGCAAGATTCCAAGTTTGGGCACAACAGCTACGCCTACTCCATAACCCTAACCATATCAAATAGTTACCAGGGTATGTTCCGGTATACCGGACCGTACCCAGGGTACCACATTCCGGCAGTACCCTGGCCCTGGGAGACATTAGTACAGTACCAGACAAGACAATACATCAATAATTAAATGTAACTAATAGTAATACTAATAGTAATAGAGATAGTAGGCATTACTATTAGGGTTCAAGGATAGAGATGATGTCCAGTGCCAGTACGGTGATTGGATAGGATGATGTTAGTTGATAAGATAGGACTGTACATCTTCTCTATCCCTGAGCCACTATTAGTATTACTATTACTATTTATTAATACTAGTAGTAGTAGTAGTACTAGTACTGTACTGTAGTAGTAGTACTAGTGCTATTAGTAGTAGTGCGTGGCGAGGACGTGAAACTGTCAGTGTCAGTGTCAATAGACAATACAACGGGCTCGTCACTAGACACTACGTCAGTCGTAGAGCCTGGTAGGGCTCTTCGATCGGCCTGGTAGTAGTACGTATACACACTCAAGCAGCAGAAATAAGCTACTTACGACGATATTTTTCTCCTCGAGCTGCTTTCGTTTCTTCTGTATTTCAGATTTTAAAAAATCCATTGCGATAGACCTACAAAGCAAACTTATGTACAGCATCTACGCAACTGGCAACACGTACGGAGCATTTCGCGGTTGTTGCGCCACCTTGTGTTAATATAAAAAGGTTTCATACGTTCAATAATGTAGCAGCGACTTTGATCAGACATCTTCACGCCATCTATCGGGAGAAATAATTCACATGCGCACATTGTATGTTGTGTAACCGTAAAACGCAATATTAAATGTATTATAATAGTTAAACGCAGGGACGGATCCAGATGAGACGGGATACTAGAGAAGCGTTGCCGAAAGGAGGTGTTCATCCGAAGCGCTGAGCGCAGATCTTGCGCGCAGTTCCGCGGCAAGGCGCACGCGGGAACGTCCTACGACAGTATGCAGCGCTGGCAGCTATGGATCCGTGCGCCGAATGCATAGGTCGGCGCACGGATCCATAGCTGCCAGCCAGAACAACATTTAATGGATAAGATTGGTGAAGGTTTGGCCGTGAAATTCCCATCCTACACTTCGATGTATGTATTTCAATAATGTAGCAGCGACTTTGATCAAATATGACATCTTCATCTCCTCTTCCATCCACTCTACGTTAAATACGTTTTAGAGTATTATAATATCTTTAATAATGCATTTTACGGTTACATGCAACATACAATGTGCGCATATAAATTATTTCTACCGATAGATGGCGCGAGGACGTCATATTTGACGTGACAATGATATCCCCTCTGCGCGTGAACTGCGCGTGTATGCACACCAGAGGCGTGTTCAACAGCACGAACGCTTGCCTTCTGAACGACACTGTGTGGTCGAGCGCTCGCAATCCTGCTCCCGAGACTGTTCGCGCAGCGCGCGAGTTGTTTTTGAGATGGCGACGGGCAATCTGGCGAATGCGAATCCAACATTTCTGACTTCAATTTCAATCTATTTCAACTTCATTTTATTTTTCATTCTTTCATTCACTTCTGAATTCAATTCGTATCAATTTCGCCTGCTAATTCGTTTAACAGTACTTGTTCGAAGACATGAAAATCTTGCGATTAAAATCTGATGAGGAAGCCGCCATGTGGGCCGCCATCTTGGATAAAGCGAGCGCTCGCGTGTCGTTCAAGTGGCGCTGCGTTCGTGCTACGAGCGTTCGCGCTGTTGAACACGCCTCAGAGGCTCATGGCGGCTTCCACAGCAGCGGTCTTCAAACAAGTACTGTGAAACGAATTAGCAGACGAAATTGATACGAATTGAATTCAGAAGTGAATGAATGAATGAAAAATGAAATAAAGTTGAAATAGATTGAAATTGAAGTCAGAAATGTTAGATTCGCATTTGCCAGATTTCCCGTCGCCATCTTGAAAACCCGCGCGCTGCGCGAACAGTCTCGCGAGCAGGATCACGCGCGCTCGCGAGCGCTCGACCGCGCAGTGTTGTTCAGAAGGCAAGCGCACGCAAGCGTTCGCGCTGTTGAACACGCCTCAGTAGTCGGTTCACGAGCTGACGGCGTTTGCCATGAGTCTACGTTCGCTCTGTGCCCTAAGGACATGTCACTACTGTAAGTAGTTTATTTTTTTGCTGGTTACGTGCCTGCTTTAGACTATTCCGTCTCACAGACGATCTGGGGCAGTCACGGTGTAGTTATTTATAGGGTTTAGGAGGCAGGGACACGGTGACAATCAGAATTATTATAAAGGAGGGGGTACAGGGGGTTGTCTTCCTCCCGCCTCCCTCCCCCTCTCCTCCCGCCTCCCTCCCCCTCTCCTCCCACCTCCCTCCCCTGTCCTCCTATCTCCCTCCCTCAACACCTCCAGGATCCTTTATATTTTGCATTTTCTTTTTTGAATGTCACTTTTAATAGTTTCTCTGACAGTTTGCGTGATAATGTATTTATCCTGTACAATGTATTTTCTCATGTATTTATTTCTCGTGAGCACTATGGATTTATTTTATTTTTCTCTACTTAGTATACTCTCTCTCTCTCTTTTTTTCTCAATCCTCTAGTGTGCACAATTATAAAATGTCTTTATAGCCATTTTTCTAGTAAACCTTTATAAGTGAATAAACTTCGTACAGGGTTTTTGACGGTGAGGAGCTTGCAAGCTCATATGTTGACATATCTGTTACAAATGTACCGTCTTTAAATTAATAAATAAATAAATAAAATTGATAAATAAAACAGGGTTTTAGGTTTAGTCTTCTGCCTGTTCCTGCAACATAGAACCTTTGTGGAATATACACTCATTCATTATTTGACTGTGAAATAAATTTTTAAAAAGGGGTCGGAATGGTGTCAACATATACTGATATTATCAGGAGTAAGATAATATAGGATCCTATATTATCTTACTCCTGACATTATTACACTATGACTAAACATTAATTAGATTCATACACTTCGGGCCATAATAACAAAATTTTTTTGTTTTTTTACCTTTTAAGGTCAATATATTTATGGTTTAGACCTCATGAAGGTGTTTGGAGAAAGACTTTCAAAAAGCACTTTAATAATCAACAGTACATCACTATATAGTTTCTAGTACTACATCCTGGGTACATCTATTATTGCATGTAATTATGTCTAGCAAAACATATGTGCATCAACAACATCAATAACGGAGACATTACTTCATAACTCACGTTAACACCCCCAGGGTTTCCCTAGCATTTCAGAAGGCATGTCGGGCAATCAGGCGATTCATGAACGACTGCTAATTGGATTCTATTGGGCGTGTTGTAAACGGTGCCTAGTATATGCAGGCAAACTATCGGTTCAGAGATAAATAGATCTCTAGATGTGAGAACAGCATGACTGTGCTGGGATTGTCGAAAGTAAAAAAAAACAGCTGGAAATTAAGGCACTTTTGAATGATTTATCGGTTGCCGCCAATTATCTTTAGCTTTGAAGGTATGAATCTACTATGATGGACTTGACATTCTTTTAGTTAAAGGCCTGGGGAGAACCCTGGACCTCATGTATGCACTGTAAGCTTTGTTTTTCAAGCAGTTTCTCTCTCAGAATTATTTTAATAGGAAATCAAGTTGGGTACAATGTCGCATCAGCCTGTTTTTGTGAAACAGACATCTAAAATTCATGCAGCACACCAAAATGATTCTCCAAGTTGCATCCATCATCTTCAAAATGCAACTGCCGGTTAACTTTCTTGCCGAACGCCCTCAGGCGTGTGTGGAACATACGCTCCTCTTTGCCAATCCATGGACGACACAAATCATTCACCTGGTATGGAGTCACATGCACGTGCACCTCTATGTCACTCTTGCAGATGGCCTCCAACAGCTAGGGGCGCTCAGTCACCCACGTTTTGGAGCCGCCGTTGTGTCCGCCGTCGAGCCAGTACATGGCTTTGAGCATTGGTAGGAAGTGACCGAGGGTGTGGCATTGCCTCGCATCTTCCAGCTCGTGCAGGAGCTGGTTGAGAACTACACAGCCTTTACTGAACCCCACCAGTGTCAGTGGCAATGATTCCTGGCAAGTGCCAGTTCCAGACTCCGTCGATGACACAGCGACAGGCTCTGCTGCCGGTAATGTGCACTGCTGTGACTCAGTCGCAGTACATGACACGGGTGGCCGCCGATCGAGGCTGCAGTTTTCCTTACTCTCCCTGTGCCTTGCTGCCATCTTTACTGCATTCTGCAGCAGCACCGCCAAGTGGTGAAAACATTTAGTTCCGAAGCTGTGTTTCGGATTACCAATAGCATCAGACTCAACGAAGTTGCCAAAACAGCTGAACGTGCCTAAGTGCATGCTGCTTGGTTTGACGAGAAAGATGGAATGGTGTGGAAATCGCTGATGCAGCAGCTGTGTGGTGGCATCCACATTCCATTCCAGGTAGCGTTTGTTATCACGATGTTGCGTCATCACTTCTGGGTAATCCTGAAAAAAACAAAATTGAAAAGGCACTAGTAGTAGTGCTCATAGGGTCTATGTCCCCCAGGGTACTGCCGGTACGTACCCTGGTAACTCTGATATGGGTAGGGGTAGGGAGGAGGGGGAGGCGACTCCCTAGACTCGTTAGTGGAGTAGGCGAGGTACGGTCCGGCATATTAGATAGTACCAGGGTACGTTCCGGTATACCGGACCGTACCCAGGGTACGTTCTGGCAGTAGGTACCCTGGGGAACATAGACCCTCTCAGCAGTAGTAGTAGTACTACTACTAGTAGTAGTACTAGACTACTAGTAGTAGTACTACCAGGAGTAAGATAATATCTTATCCTATATTATCTTACTCCTGGTACTACTACTACTACTAGTAATGATGATTGTCCTTTCTGATTGTATTAACTTCCTGGTACTGTAATAAACAACCCATTCATCTAACCCAGCTAACTTCGAGACAGTTCGATCACGGATTATGTTTACAATTACCTGTACATCACCTGGGAAAAACACAACAATTCCTGCTGCATTCTCCCACGTTGGATAGTGCACAATGTCATTGAATTTTCCTGCATCCCCAGCTACATGTAATAACCTGACAACACCAGGTATACTACCACCGTGCAGAGAGAAAGCTTGTTCTGCTGGTTGGACTGACATAAGTATGTTTAACAATAGATAAAAGAGGGAAACAAAACTTGCAGTCCTTATTATTAATATTTATAACGTTTTTATAACGGTAGCCATTTTCGATAGTGGCGCCATCTATTGGTGATAACTACCATTTACACAGGTACTTTTGGCTTTGACCCAATTTATAATCCACACATCTATTAAATGCTAGTAACCTGGGACCCATTGTCAGGAATAAAATTAGTCTTAACATTAGTCTTAACGGTAACTTTTTCTCTTCGATTGTTGACAGAAAGATCTAAAAATATCTGTTTAAATAATCTGTTTGTCTATCGGGAAAATATTTCCAGACTAATTTTAAGATAACTTTTGTTTCTGACAATAGGTCCCTAGTATGGAACGGGAATACCACATGCAATAACTTATAACATAAGACAAACAGATGTCACACTTACACAGAATAAAATTAGCATAAACAAATATAGGTGCACAAGCGTGCACTCAGTCTATGAGCCATCGCCACCCATTGAATAAACTTGCTCAAGTTCTGACTGATCATCTGCACGGTACTTCAGCGTTATATGCAAATGTCTGTGATTGGCTTGGCTTTGTCTCAGCTCCAGATGTCCTTGCACCTTGCTGTCCTGTTCTACAGGCATAGACTGGCAGTACAAAACAGTCTGACACCAATGAGTGACACTGAAACAGAAACCAACAATCGCTGATGGACAGTGTATTATTGTGCCAATACCACTGCTATAAATTGTTATATATAAAATTATATGCAATTAATTAACATTCTTATTATGCTATATGAAGTGAGAATGGGTGCTATATATACCTGTCATAAGGTGATGTGCTCAATGTAATGTGTCCAGGAAACCTTACACTGAACCAGACAACAAATCCATTAATGTCTGTGCTACCAAAACAGGAAAACTCAAAGCTTGCTTCGATAGTCTTCAAGTCAGCTGTTGTCACGGTGTAGAGGTCTATATCACAGAGTTTCTGCAGAAAAATGAGAGCTATGATCCTACAAAACAAGTAGTAAATTGTCACTGCTCTAAGATAGAATACTAAAACAAGAAAAATTGCAATGCAACACATGCACACACGTACACACAGTGAGTCTGACACAAATATATATTATATATAAATTAATCACATATACACTAGTATTGCAGGCAACGCTCTCGCGCGCACACCTTGGTTCGCAGTGCGTGAGCTTGTCGCCAGTGTGCTAGCACCGCGAGTGTCTGTTAGGTTGTGTTAAATTGAATGTGTTACACTGAATTATAAGCTCATTAATCAGATTTAATTAATTAACTATATACACTCTCGCGCTCACACACTTTGGCTCGCAGTGCGTGATCTTGTTGTCTAGCGATAGCCTCATAACGAACATGTCGCTCTCCATGCGGATCTCGTGTACGGCTGGCGGCGGCAGGGCCACGCCCAGCCCGACGAAGCCCATCACGTTGCCGGGCTGCCGCCGACTGTGCGAGAAGCTGATCTGTGGACGAATGTGGCCGATGACGAGAACAACCTGGAGAGAAAGAAAATAAAATGGCGGGAAGAGTGAATTAATGCGATGGTGTGTTGGTTGGAATTTATTTATACTCGGGGTTGCAAGCACGCGCAAGCAGATGGACACGCCCGCGCGCACGCACACAGGCACGCGCGCACGCACATGCGCGCGCGCACACACACACACACACA